TATAAATTCTACAGAAGTTACTGCAACGTTTTCAAATAGACTAGATCTAGATAAATAGTTCTAGATTTATTCTATATGCACGATCAGCGTCCCGCGTGTGCATTAATCTGCGATAAATTTCAGTGCACGACAACTTGGTATTTCGGCTTTACCGTTGAGCAAACACCCAATAATTAACATAAAAGAGCCATTTAATTGCACAGACAGATGCGGCGGGTCGGCTCTCTCACTTTTTCTCGACGCGCTCGTTCCATTATGTGTGATTGTTGGCGCAAAAAGCGTCGCATCACCTCGTTTAATAGAGATACATTAATGCTGGGGGATCAGCACGGCCGATCTACTGCGTACAACCGAAAAACACATGCCTCAGACGCGTAATTAAATGGCCGAATGTGGAAGAAGCGCTAATGGATTGCCGCTGATTCACACTTTGCGCCGCGCCGACTCATTGTTCTCTTTTCTCTCCTCCTTCCCTAAGCCGATTTTCGGAGCGCGCGCGTTCTGTTTGATTTGTTGCTTTTTTACAACTGCCGTACTTTGTGTTGCCAAATGGATTTGGACCCTACACAGTGCACTTTACTCAATTTCTATTGATCAAATTAAAAAGGGATTGGGATGGAAAAACTGTAGGATCAGAGTGAGTGCGACTTGAGTACTGTTGTAGTCATTGATTCTCAATCACTTGGCACAGAAATATAAGATAAGAAGAAAGTATAAAATAGCAGTAAATCTGGTGGTTTTGGAAACTCCTCAACTTAAGATGATTGTGTGAACTGACTTAATTTTCTTTTAAATTATAACAAATTTGGAAATAATAAAATATTGGTTCATTTATTTTAAAATAAAAGTGATCGTTTTTAATAGTTTTCTATCACAATTATATAAAATATTTTTGTACAATTTTAAAACTTTTTGCCACTGCTTCAGTTTTTTTAAATTATTAGGAATTATCAATGGTAAAAAATATGACTTCTGCAAATAATGCCAGATGATCGCAGGTTACCTCTCGCTCGGTTACTCGCCCCATCTGCTCTAATTGCAAAATAAGTCCACTTCTGCGCCGATGATTAGCATCCCCAGCTGCACGCCAACTTTTCGCCGCAGAGCGTTATGTATATTTATTTTCAATTTGAATTTCGGCTGTGCGCATCAATAGAAAGTTGAGAGCGGGGCATGTGCATGAAATTCATTCAACTCTCATTAGGGCGGCTAAAAACAACTCCCCAGCCCTTAATACGGACGAATGTTTTCTCTTTCAACATTTGCATGCGTACGTATATATAAAAATGAATGGTCCCTTTAGAGGAGGGGCGGCCTTCAAATAAGCTGGGGCCCGTTTAAATCAATTCAGGGGTCCTTTCGGAGAGCGAGGGAAAATGTAAAGAGAAGAGTGCCGAGTGTACTTTTCCTTCCAGGGACGGTTTGTTTAAAAGTTAATGGTGCGTGGTTACTCTGCTTGTGCCTCATTGAAAGTGAATGGCGATGCGAAAACTTCCTGCGCCGCCCGCGTAAAATGCACTCGTCATCGTGATTTTTCGAATCAGAAAATGCAAATTAGCCACCCGGCCGGCTTGCTTGGATTATGCCGGCGAGTTGTTTTCTTTAGATTTCGCTTTTATGTGTGCACATCCGAGTGTTATTTTTATATGAATTTTCTTTGGGGGGGGGGGGGGCTTTGGATTTTTGCTTAGTTAAGATTGTTTATAGTTAAATGAAAAAATAATTCTTTGTTTTAATAAAAATTATATTTTCAGGCCATTAATTATTGACATGATAGTCATTCAAGAAATTATAAAATTTAAACAATTTTTAAGAAATAGTACGCGTTATTAAGGTTACAATACTATCAAAAAAAGAAGAATAAAAAAATTAACCATATGCCAAAGCAGGAGAGATGAGTGTTAATATTTTAAATTGATTTATTTGAAAATTTAAAGTAAAAGTAACTTAATTTATCACCCATTATATTTATGATAATTCCAAATTTACCAATCTCAAAAGAGACGCTAGAGAAAAATAACATTTTCAAAAAATCCTTGGTTTGGTGCTGGACATGGGTACAAATTTTTGTTTTTAAGAATTTTAAAATATGAACAACACATCATAAACTTAAATTTTTATGATAAAATATTATCCATTTATTTTTAACAAGATGGGAATATTCTTTAAAAATTGCAATACATAATTATTTAATATATGGGTGATGCTGTATCTGAGCGGATAATATTTAATTTAATACATTAGATAATTTTAAAATTTATAATAAAAATTGTTATTTTAAATAAATTAAAAATATCCTTTTTTAAACCTTTCCATACATTTATTTAGTATTTACTTTATTGCTCATATTTTTTAGAATTTTTTTTTTAGATTTATTTCTCAAACGTATTTTTCCAAAGGCAAAATGATAATGATAAATTTAAATTTATTTTGAAAATTTGTTAACTGCAGTTGTTTATAAAAAACATTCATAGTGCTAATACATTATTTGAAGAAATACTAATATTTTACTGAATGTTAAGTAGGAATTGATTAGAATAAATATTCATTTTACAATACCCAAAGGATATAATGATAGAATCTGCTCTCCCTATTATTCAAGACTATACATAAAATTTAGTAATATGATGACGAACAACAAGAAACTACTACATCATTTTTCATGCACAGTTTTATTGAAACTAATCTCACTTCCCAATTCAGAGTTCGGCTGCGGGAAGAGCATCTCTCGCGGTGGTGGTGGTGCGAGAGCGCGAAGCATCGATTTTCGGGCGCAGATTAGCTGCAAGCTGTAATTATCAAATTGATTAGCGAGACTTGCCAAGCACACCGCATTCATCTATGGCGAGAGAGATATATTCCGGCTCCGAGCAGCGGCGCACTCACACATCATCCTGATCGAAAACGACCGGGAGAATCTCGTTATAAGCGAGAGAGCGAGCCCTGAAAAATATGGCCAAGGAGATTATAACAGGCACTATTTGAAGCAGATTAAGGAAGACTTAAAAAATATCGCATCGCGGCTTATAATCGCGGCCCATTACAGAGAGAAAATAGAACGGTGGGGCTAAAGAGAAGTTTATTAGCAGCTGCGAGGCCACCCTTTTTATATTGCCAAATTAAATTTTTATCCTCGGTACTTTCCGCCACGGTATTAAAAAGTGAGAGATGGCTGGATTGATTAATTACTTTCCAGGTAGTGAATTTGAGTTACTAAACGCTAAAAAATTGCCCAAAGACTCGTTCATAGAGAGCGATATGAAATGGGAAAAATCCAATTAAAATTTATTTTATTTAATAAACAAAAGTATATTTCAGAACACAAATTTGAACCAAAGAATGAATGTTTTCAATGTTCATATGTTCATGAAGCATTAAAAAAAAAAAAAGAATGTTTGTCATGCCTTTTGAACACAAAGAATAAAATATCAAAAAAGGGTTGCATCAAATTAATGAGATATATTTTTGCTTTTACATCTATTTTTTCTGTACAGCGCACACAACACCCAAGGTTTTTCTTGCATGACCTTTTTTAGGTCAAAATAGAGCACGTTAAAAGTTAATTATTTTTTTTTTAGTACTCGAGCTGTAGTCTTTCAAGTTTCGCCTTTTGTGAGAAGTGCATAAAAATTTTACAACCAGCAGCTAGCAAGTCAGCGAGTGGAAGACCCAGTTTTTCTTTTTCACAAAGTTGCTCATAAATCTTAACCCATGGCAATAGCAAAGCAGTCACTTTCAAATGCAAATGTACTCGCCCGCGTTCGTTTTGAAATAAAACACACTAGCGCCGAAAAAGTGCCAATAAGTTGGCCATTTATTACTCCGCACGGTGAATGATCCATTATTACCGTTTTTATAAAAGCACCCGCGCCCAGAGGAATAATTGCGGCAGCTGCCTCCCAATTTGCGCAATTTAGCGCACGCACGCAAATGAATGGGCAGATGATGTTCCTCTTTTTATTGCTCTGCAAATAACAACATCGCATACATATTTTCGGGTGCCAGCTTTTGAACTGCTGAGGCGTTGGATCTTCGTACAAAATAACGAATTTTGTTGCGAGGCCATAAATCGAATCGACTCTGTTAGTGGCGGGACCCATTAGATTTATTTTTATACTTAGAGTCAGCCAAGGTGCTTCATAAAGCGGCAACCTTTTTGTATAAAATTTGTATAGAATTTTATTATCGCATCTACATAAAAAGCGGCCATAACATGCCGTACGTCGTTTGGATAAGTTAATTCTAAACTGAAATATGACATTTAGATCTGATTGAACCTGAATCAGATGAAAAAATAAATAAATATTTATTATGCTTGCTTACATAAGAATTAGAAGAGTTGATATAGAAAATTATCAAAATAGACCTATTAAATCAATACAAATGGTTATAAAATTATATAGATCAATAAATTTTTAGCTTTTTCGAATCATTTTCACTGCTTACTTATAAAATGCGACAACCATAGGTTTATGTGTAAATTAGTGTTAAACTTCTTAAATAGTCAGACGTCCCAGAAGGACCAGTTAACATTTTACAATTTAATTTATGTTAAAATCAATTTAAATTAAAGGTGTTGTGTAAAGTAGGTAAAATTTACGCACAGAGGGCCCTCTTGTTGTTTATATATTTCAGACATTACGTGTTTTGGTACAAACTTTAGCATGTCCTGTGAGAGTGGGCAAATTATTATAAGCCATTACTGAAGCCTCCATTCAGTGCATATCAAACTTTTATCAAATCGTAAACAAAAAATGTCCTTAAATTAAAAGTTTCAAATGCATCAATATAATGAATATAATAAATAATTCACTTTAAAATAATACTTCAATCAGCCTATCTGCTGCAAAATTGTTGAAATAAAAATATATATGTGGATCAATGGATTTTACAATTTTTTTTTCTAAATTAATTTGATAGAAGTGATATTTTTTTTTAAAAGGTAGTGTTGCAGCCAATAATAAAAGTTATTGCATTAAATTAAATTTGGGTGTCGACAGGTCGCACCATGGGAGCCATGAACGGCGAGTTAGTCGGATGCTGTGTGCATCAGGCAAGCAAGGTAGATGGCGGTTCCGTGGGTCGTCGCCGGCGCAGGGCCCGCGCGAGCGGCGCTCTTCACTCCCGTCGTCAGTCGGTCGCTCTTCGCCGAGGCAGCAACACGCTCAGCAGGATTACTCGCGCCAGCAAGTGCGGTGAACTCGCGTGCTCTCCCTGCATTAGAAAAACACTTCAACGCAGTTCGACACTCTCGGTGACCGATTCAGTGAGCGCGAAATTGACAGAAACTTGAACCGGAAACTTTGGTCTGGTGTCCTTTGACTGTAGACGATTGGCGATTCTGCACACGGACATGGCTCGACTTGGGCAAAACCTTTTCTTCGGACTGCTCAGCCTCCTCTTCATCGTTGCCGGCGTCGTTAAAGGTCAGTTTAATCTCATTTTGGAGTCGTCAAATAACATATTGGAGCATTAAGAACATTATTTTGACATGTCCTCTACTAAAATTTAATCAAATAAATGGTAAATATTAATTATTAATAAATATTTTTTGAAAAAAAAAATCTGATTTAAAATAAGAAAGTTTGGAGCTGATCAATTATGATAAAAACAACAAAAATAATGAAGCAAAGATGTTGCGCTTTGCCCTTCTAATTTGATTATAAAATTTAAAAGAAAAATCAGAAATACAACTTCAGTAAAAATAGAGTACATAATTACTAAAAATATTATTATCTTGAGACTTGCTTCTGGCCACTAATAATTGACTATTGTATATAATAATTTAATTAAAATGATTGAAATTAAATACATAATTTCAATTAGAATATTATAATTAAATTATCATAGTATTTACTTCGCATTAACATGCTGGACTGAAAACAATGATCGACGCTATTTTTACACACTCACAAAAGTCGTTGTCTATGTCGAGTAAAAGTTTTATGTATTATAATACTGCAAATTTTTTATTATAATCTAATAAAAAATCAAAGAATAAAAATAATATAATGTGTTGAAATAAATAAATAGTAATAACAATTAGACGCTAAAATAATTTCGTGCCAAAATTTTATTTCTGGCGGTAAAAAATCTTAAAACGTCTATAAAATCATATATATAAAAAAATATAATATATTTTTCATTATCAAAAAACTGATTGTGAGGCTGTTGTGAGGGCATAAAAATCATTTTTATAAATTTTTTAGCACCCTCGTCGAGACCAATCAATTCTGTGCGGTAGCAGTAAATTCACAAATTTATATGAGTGTATGTGCGTTCGTATTCGATGAAAAATGGGCATTGGAGCCACGGTGTAAGCCACACGACTCCATTATGGGTAGCAGTCCCATAAATTTGGGCTTCGCTCGAAGAGTGCGTTCGTTCGTTCGTTTCTCCAACAGTTTCACCTCCTCTGCATGCGCCCAATAAATCCGGCCAATTTTATCGTCAATTCCGCAAAAAGCGCATTAACCCTTGTATACGCATCTCTGATGTCTTTTCCTTCCCCTTTCAATTCTCGCTCGAACCCTCTTCTGAGGTTTGTTCACCGAATCCGCTGAAAGGGATTCTGTATTTTGCGCCACAATCTCTATAGAGCAAAACAATCTTCTCTTCTTTAATAGGTCAACAATGAGAGGGACAAAAAGTAAATTTATCATTTCAAGTGTACTTGCTCAAAACTTAAGATTGTTTCTGTTTTTGTGTGTGCGAATATTATAGTTTGCACAGCCCGGTATATGAAAGTGAGCGCGTTGTTTATGGAGTTCTCAAAGATTTATACTCTGACATTATCTTTGTTTCTCTCGCTCTGCGCGTATATACACGCGGCACAAACAATATAATGCTATGTGCTGAATTAAACACAACGGCAGAAAGCAAAAGTGAGCCAAAAGCTAGTTTTTGGCTGAGAAGCGCGCTTTTCTTGCGTTAACCCTTTCAGAGCTCGCATACAAGTTCTCGTTGCGCGCAAAGGAGAATGAAAATCGTGGGCCAAGAACCATTACTTCGAATTAAAAACAACCAAACTTCGCAATTACTTGAGGCAGTTCCACCAACGAAAGTAAAGAGTCGGTAGTTTGTTTTATTTACAAAAAAAAAAATTCAACTTTTTCGGCAACTTTGCCTCATCTAAAAAAGTTTTTGCACAAGTCCTTTTGCCTTTTTTTTGCAGAAAACTAGCAGAATTACAAAATGTCTTGTGCACGAAAAATCATGCATCGCACCTAAAAAAGTAAGTATAGCGGAGCCGCGCGGAACAAAAGGCAGAAGCGATTTTGCGAACAAAGTAAAGTGTGTTCTACTAGCAAAGCAGAATCCGGCAGCAGCAGGCGAAAATTGGATTATTCCTCGCGTATATAGCCAGGCCTATAGCTGGGCTGAATGCAGTGCACGTGAGAGATACAAAACAGCAAAGCACAGCATAATGGAGCCGGGCTGAAATAATTTACTGCCACTCACCCGCTCCGAAATGAGAGAAGAGTGAGAGACGAAAGAGTACATAGTGAGCGCTCTGAAAAATCAATCACATTTTGCGCCAATATAACTCAGGCGCGTTCGATTGACTGGCCCGCTTTGTTGTGTTTTTTCATATCGCGCGGAGCTTCATGAAAAATAGCTCATTTTCCGTGTAAGCGTGATTGTTTACATAAATGGAAATTGAAATATTCCAATTCATTCCCATAAGCAGAATTAATCAACATTTTTACCGATGAAAAAGTTATTAAATTGGTTTTCCATAACTTTTCGTGGAATTTGATGATGAATTATGTTTGGGAATGTATCAGCTAAAAATAAATAAAGCCTTTGATCCCAGTTTTCAATCAAAAATTACTCTCGAATTTTTTAAACGTTTTTAACTTGCCTTGGAGAGTCCTTGTGCCAAAAGGTTTTCCCACGGCTTTTTTGTCACACGTGCGTGGAGCCCCGCGGCTACGAAAAGCAGTCTCGATTGTTGCAATTATTATGAAAAAATGGCAGCTCTCGAAATTCTTCATCCTCAACGACGGATATTTCGAGAGAGCTTCACAAACTGGTTCATTCAATTTGCATATTTGACAAACGATTCGGGCCGTGCGCATTTATAATATTTCCGAGCCAACAGAAAAATAACACTGTAGTGCCTGCTCACATCATATAGCAAAGATGATTAAAAACACAAATTCTTCAGCACTTTCCAATTTTGATCGAGCGGTGCGATAATGAGCCAGTTGGTGGCAGCCGCGAGATTATAAATGAAAATAATTCATCCTTTTAAGGAGGTGCCACGATCGTAGGAAAACAATAAATTAATCCTTGCCGCGGCGTCGTGGAAACGAGTTTCGTCCCGCCGAGATATAAATGAATCGGACACAACAGAAAAACTATTATGGCCCGCTCCAGAGGTAATTTCCCGATGAAATTTATATTTCAACACCGTTAACCTCGCGAACTGATACCAACTTTCGTGCAAATTCCAGCCACGAATCCGAGCTTTCAACCATTTTCAAAAGACTTCTTGGAAATAAAACTAATTTAATCAGAGTGGTCCTGGAAATCCTAACTTTTGCATTGAGAATTCTGACCAAGGACCGGCGCCTTTTTGAGACCAAGAATTAGTATTCAAAGTGGCTGCGACTCGTGGGCGAGAGTGTCACAATTCTAGCCCTCTCTCGTAAAACCCAGTGGCACGGAAATTATTTTTGAATCCTTCCCTCGGCGCTTGTAGTGAATGTACGCTCGGGCGGCACCTTGAAACGCCGGCGCTCCATGTTCTATAGATCTCGCCAAACAAGCACGCTTCGTGCCGGCAGTACGCGTGTATTTAATTGTAATTATTTGCATAAACATGACCGAAAGGAAAGTTGGTGCGCTCCGGCTCGCCGCCCTCGACGCCTCCAATTTGCCTCACTGCCAAAGTAGATGCGCATGCAAAATTAACCCTGGGGGCCTGATTGCCTCTGGTTAATTGTTGGCACTAATGGGCCCGCCAGTCGAGTTTGTGCGTTTCATTCAGTCTTGATTTTTTGCCGTTTACTCTCAAATGGGCCGGAGAGCAACGAGATGGAGACATTTCTTTCAGCGAATTTCATTTCTGCTTCTTTGTTTTTTTTGTTGATATACCCAAAGAAGCGTTTAAAAATAATAGCCTGCATGGCGTTAAATGCGTTTATTTAAGAGACTGCAGAAATTTATTTAATTGCCCAATTTGAACCAATTGTTAAGGAAATGATAAAAGCCATCCTAAGTTGCTGGGTAAAAAAATTGAAGATTAAAAATAATGTGAATGGCAGCTTGAAATGAATTGTATTTCATTAAAATTTACGCTTTTTATTAGACATACAAATTTTAACTTCATAACGTAATTGCTCTATAAAATGTTTATTTCTTAATTTTAAAAGATTTATAAATTTAATATTATTTTAATTTGATAATTTAATTAAGAAACATATTTTATATTTATTTATTTTTCAATTTTTTGTGCGTTTAATAATTTAAAATGAGGTATTGTTCAATGAGCTTCAAATTAAGTAGTTTTCAATCTCTTTTATAAATAGTGGGTCCTCTGTAGAAGATGGTAGTTAAAAATTTCTTTTACAAAGCTTCATTACGCTGTTTGAAAACCTTTTACTTACATTTAATTAAATGTAACACCTTAACCATATAATAATACATACTGAAATCACAATCATTGATTGTTACATAAACTTCCTTTATATCATCAAATTTCACCAAAAATTTTCTATCTCATATCTCATCGGGTTTTAAGAATAAATCTGATTTATATAAAAATTGAGTTAAAATGTTGCAGAAAAAATCTACAATAATAAATAGTCCTCCCACAAATAGAAAATTAAAGGGGTTCAACTGACTTGAATGCTTCGGCTTTTTCATTTATGCTTCCACGATTGGGTCGAACTTTCCCTTGCGTTATGGAATTTTTATTCCATAACTGCGCCCATGGAAAAAATCCCTTTTAAAACGAGATTTCGCTCAACTTGCAAATTAAGTTGAGCAGCGTTAGATGGCAATCTACTTGAAATTCATCTCAAGCACCCACCATAAAAGGGTCGTCACAGCCGGCGCGTAGAGGCCGAATCGAGATTTGCACGCTGCATCCCTGGCTGGATAAATAATTAAATCCGAGGCAATTAAAATTCAAGTCTTGAGCCACCTGATAAATTCGGGAGCAGAGCACATTCGTGCGGGCCCTTTGTGTATGTAAATACAGAGAGCGAAGTTGGAAAGGTAGGAGAGAGAGAGAGAGAGGCAGGCGTGTTTCTTGCGGCGCGATAAAAGGAGCCAGGTCCGTGGAGCTGGGGCGCCACCGCCTTCTGTTTTGTGTAACGCTCGGCGTGGTTATCGCGCCCATAAGGTATCCGTTTTATGTCATAATATCCAAAGGGTGCGAGAATACATGATGTAAGATAATACGCGGCGCCGATTC